TTGTGTTTTTTTCCCTTTCGACGCTTTTCGGATTGGATGTCTTTTTCGCGTCCCGCATTTTCTCATCTGTTTTAGGTGCTTTCTTTACATTCACGGCACTTTTTTGTATTTTTTTACTTTTATCCACTGATTTCGCGAGTGGCGATTCTCCGCTTTTTTGAGTTTTTTGCAGCTCCAACTTCGGCGTTCCCTCGCTACGCTTCTTGCTCTTGCTTTTCGCTGCTTTCTCTTTCTCTGTTTTGGTTTTGGTTGCAGTCGTATCCACTTCTAAATCCACTTCAACATCTATTTCCTTTGAATCTGCGGCGGGCTCTGCAGTTGAAAGTTGTCTGGTGGATTCTTTCGATTCTCGATCCTCGGTGGTTGTTCCTTCCTCTCCGTCACCAGTCGAACGCAGCGGCAGTATCGGTTCAGCGATTCTCGAAGAGACTGTACTTGTTGCTACAATGAAAATTCATGCGAATTTTAACGCCAATTTAAATGTCTCATGTTTCAGGAAACATATTACAAACTGAGCAATATCCACTGAAATGAGGCACGTACTTCCTTTTCCATAATTTTTGATAATCACTTCGACCCCATCTCCAATATCATAGGCCTGTAACAGATAATTGACCACTGTGCAGTAAAAGCGAATTATAGAACTAGAAAGAGTTGAAATGTCTCCGCATTTCATTGACCAGGGACCAAAAAATGCCACGTGTAGGTACAACAATACCCAGTTTAAGAAACGCGAAGAAAAAGTTGTTTATCGATTCTAGCAAGATGACCAATTCCTCATGAGCTCCAAATCACCGACAACACGTTGCTGGTCACTCTACGTTTCCTCATTTTAAGAAATCGAAGGATTCAGGCCGACATTTCAAGTTCTAAACGGGAATGATCCATCTACAGATTTAGTGGTAGTGATTTTCGCTAGTAATAAAAATCACTATCACATGGAATGCAGATGAGCTACGAAGTACTGGACATTTGGAACTTGGCTTAGCAACCGGCGACATAATTCCAAACTTACAACATTAAGGCTTTGATCCCATGTTACATGGTCATTAATGTGAAATTCGGTTGGTTTCGAATCTGCAAGTTCGTGTTCCTGTAAAAAATACTTCGTTTTTGATAAGCATTATGCGATAAATTTTATCTTTTTTCACAATAATTTCTGGCAAC